TGGAGACTTTCCAGTGTTGCTCTCTGCTATGAGTGTGGAGAAAATGCGTGGCCTGCACTCATGTTCTGGCTTGAGAGGGTTGAAGATAGCATGGACATCTCGATGAACGACCCAGGGCGCAAAAGACATCAGGAAGCCAAAAACAAAATCACGGCCAATGCCGGCATGCTCTGCAAAGCGGCACAGGACCGCAGCAAAAAATGGTAAAAGCTTTGGCAAGGCCAGGGGCTGATGCCAAGCATCTGCAATGGTGCCACCATACGTATGAGAGTCCACTGCTCTTTGCTGAAAGAGCTCCACTTCCCAGGCATGAAGGCTTTCGAAGGTCAGGTTGTAATCTGCAGGTTGGACGGGCCACGCAACGGGTAAATCCAAAAAGAGATCAGTGAGCGCTGCGACATTCCGAGGTGCAATGTTGCAATGGGCCTCGTAAAGCCTGCCACTCTCAGCTTCTACCGCGTCATGCCTCCCTAGCCAGAAGGCGGAGGCAGCTGCTTGGATGGCTGAGGCAAGAGTGCGTGTGTTCATATGCTGCTGGAAGGTGGAAAGTGATTGGGGCTGCTCGAGGCGTTGAAGTTGGTTGGATGTGTTGGATACTTGCCCTGTCTGGATGGAGGGTTGGTCGGATGTGTCGGGTTGCTCCTGTGGATCTTCAAGATCTTGTAAGTGTAAGTGCAGGGTGCCTGCTGGCAATAGTCGTGTCCATGAGGCAGGTGCTGGCGGTATGGGCATGGGAAGGCCGCACTCCTCCTCGGCCCTTTCAACATCAATCACTCCGTCGATGTGCTGTCTTTGATGGCGGCGATCGGAGGAGCACGCCCAGTCCAAGGCTGCATTGACACAGTCTGGGTGTCTGGAAGCGGCGTCCCTGGCAATAAGGGGTGGCACACCCAGAGAAAGCAATGTATGGTACATGTCGTTGGGTAATGTTGCTGGAGGTGTTTGCGGCGGCGGCCGTTGTGGTGCTTGGTTGTTGTAGTTCGCTGGCGCGCTCTCCAAAGACTGTGCACTGCTGGTATTCACGCGACCAAGCTCCTCAGTAGAGCTGGCCCCAACCATGCTTGGGAGGTGGCGCTGTTGTGGTTGGCGTCTCAGAAATCCACAAATGCAATATGCATAGAGGCCAACGCACGAACAGCCATCATGATACAAATCAACCTGGCCAGCGTTGTCTGCGGCACCCGCGATGTGGGCGGAGGCTGGAGAAGAAGAAAAGTCTTCGATGGGGTCATCGTCGACGTTTTCATTGGAACGTCGAAGCCCAAAGTCTTCGACTGGGTCCTCAACAGCGGCCTCACAAGCAGAACAGGGCTTGATCAGGTCTTCGTCCCGGGAACAAGACAGCCCTCTTGCGCCAAAATCCAAGCTCGAGGGATCAGAACAAGGCAAGTTTTGCGCACGCTGCCGACCTGACTGCTCGTCTGATCTCTTGCTTCGTTTTGCCGGCGGTGTAGCTTCTCGCACGACAGCATCAACAAGGTCAGCGCTTGGCCCCTCACTTTCCGAGGATGTGTCAAGTTGCGTTGGGGCCACCGGAAGCTCAGCCGAACAAACGACACAGTCTGGATCCGAGCACAACCTTGGCAGTGAACAGAAGGTCTTGCGGCTAGGCTGTTCCACTCTCTCAATACCTGGCTCCGGCATCGTGACAATCTGAAATGGATGCGTGGGTGTCAGACTGATGTGATGGGCGGCTGGAACTGGAGGTGTGGTCACCGGTGAGCTGGCCTGAGGAGGTGGCACAGGAGGTGGAGGTTCCTGTTGGCAGGAAGAGGCAGAGGCATGGCAACCACCTTCGCGGACAAAACCTCTGCCTAGTAGGGGCGGAAGAGACCCTTGTGCCACGCTCAAATCCACAAGCGGAGGCGGGACCCCCGAAGCAAGATTGGCATGACAAGGCTCGTAATGGCCAACATCAGAGTGCGCCTCTTGTGTGAAAAGCATACATGGAGTTGCCGGGAACACTTTGGCCCACTTGAGTGCGGTGGCATAAGACACAAAGAAGGGAGCACTCTGTGGCAGGAACAAGAAAGCACCCTTGGAGGGGTTGTGAGCTATGAGCAATCCATGAGGATAATGGCACGAAAGGGCTGTGACCAAAATTCTGATTTGGTGATCAGAGGTGGCTGCAGAAAGCAAGGACCAAGCGGCATCCAAATTCCAACCAAGGACTGCTTGCGCAAAGTCAACAGCACGAAGCATGAGGTGTAAAGCGGGGACGCCCGTGTGGAAGCTGCTTGCGAACCACCAGCAATGACTTGAGGTCATGCTGGTCACTGCCGAGACATTCAGCAAAGAAAGGAAAGTACGAGTCTCATGGTTCAGTGGGTCGGAGACCGGACAACTCGAACTGTGTGGTGCATGCGGCTCGTTGATTTGTTGGCATTTGCAGTGCAGACTCGAAATCCATAATTTCCACAAAGACTGCCCCTGGCGGTGCTTCACGCGTCGAATGGCAGAGCGAACAGGGGCGCTGTCCAAGTCCAAGACAGCCAGGTTCTTTGGGCACATAAACTCGGTAGAGTATGCCAGCCGAACAAATTTCGATTCCAAAGCACCACAGTCTACAGGGAGCATGGCATATCCATCCACAACAACCACGGGTCCACCAGTGAGAAAAATGTCCCCCGGGCGTGCGTGGGAGGAGGATTCGTACGATGTTGCGGCGTCAAACAAGACAGCTTCTTCCCGAAGTGTGACAAAATTGGAGCCAGCAGGCTGTGCATATGAAGGTCCAAGCCACAAAGGAGTCGAGAGCCTGAGAGAAAGAATGGCAAATCCATGGACAAAACAGGTGATGGAAGGAGAAGCTTCTGAGCACTCGACAACGAAATGGCAGGCATCACTGGCTGGAAGAAAGGCGCAACGGTCACAATGTGATAGACCTTGACCTTAGGCGTTGGCTTGTGTCTGGGGGCCTGGTGAAAGCAATCTAAGCATCAGGCTTTGAGTCTGGCTGGAATGCTGCAAAGAGGTGCGTTTGAACCAGAGACGGTGCATGAGGACGTCATAGTAAAAGTAATAATAGTAGTAGTAGTAGTAAGAGTAGTGGAAGTAATGCCGAATATCTATTTAAAAACAAACCCTTTTGTTTTGAAATTTGTGCCCTTCAAAGCCGCTACTAAACTACCAACGTTTGTGTATGAGGTTGACACAGAGACGAGATCAAAAAAAACAAAATAGAGATCAAACAAATAAAGGGACAACCAGTAGCTTTGTGGTATAAGAAAGCGACAAAGAGACGAGATAAACAAATGGACACAAAGGCAAAGTAAGGAGACAGAGAAAAGAAGAGTAAGCACACAGGCCCTTTCCCGGATGTTTGCTTAGTTAAATGGGTCGTCAAGCTGGAATGGCCACTTCCTCCTCTAAATTTTACCCTCGGGTGGCTTACCAAAGGGTGAGTCAACTTGGAATGACCACTTCCTTCTCTAAATTTTACCCCTGCCCTGCCCACAAAAGGGTGAGTCAAGCTGAAATGGCAACATCCTTCTCTAAATTTTACCCTCGGGTGGCTCACCAAAGGTTGAGTCAACTTGAAATGGCAACATCCTTCTCTAAATTTTACCCTCGGGTGGCTCACCAAAGGGTGAGTCAAGTTGAAATGGCAACATCCTT